ATAGCAGAGTTTTAGGTGTCGTCTTTTTTTTTTTTTTTAATACTGTACTAGCAGTTTGCCCTATCTGGGACTTATGTTTCATTATACTGTAAACCTTTATGGTCATATTTGGTATAGTATTTTTCTCCAATGCTATTATTTTTGTGCTATTGTACAAAGGAACAATTCAACTACACTTTTTCTTTCTTCTCTACTTTTCTATTCCGTTACCATTATGCTTCATGCCAATGGACCATGTCCATTTATGGCTGATATGGTTGTTTAGGTCTTGAGTGTGCAAATGTAAATTTGTAAAAGCCTTCTTTTGCTCTCAATAAAAGCTTCTTTGGTTTAACAAGAAATTGCACAGAACATCCAACCACTTGACTCAACACTAAGATTTTGTCATATACTTGATTTTTGCCTTGAAGGTACACTTTACAGGGAAAAAAACATGCATGCTGCCAAGTATTCCTGATTCTGCCATCAATAGCTGGCGAGTCACTGACCTGGCTTCAGGCAATAAAATCCTACAAAGTCTAAAGTGACTGAAGGATAACACATAATGGTTGTTACGAAAGACAAAAATGACAAAATAAGGCCTATTGTGTTTGAACTAAAATGCGCGTCCTGCACACTATTGAAAGAAGAATTGTAGTATGACTGAAGCATTTCTGTGGCAGATATGTAATGCTGACACGAATCTACTTCTTTGGTTACCGATCCACAATGAGTCACAGTATTACAAATCTCAGCATCTACTTTTATTCTTTTCTTGCTGGATTCACAGTTGCGGCAATTCACCTTTCTCAACACAATCTAATTGCCCCCCCAACTCAGTGCACTACCATGCTTGTGGTGCGCCCCGTTATTAAAAAATAGTGCATGCACCTTTTTGGGTGCGTTAGGAAGACCATTTAAATGGTTTGCAACAAGGCAATGCACATTAACATGCATAAACGTACCACAAAGATCTAATCTAGCTCTTAATACACTAACAGTATCAAATTATTTCAGTCTCAGAGTTCATGTCAATTTGCTTTCTAGTCAAACGCTGCATTTTCCATTCATGTGCATGCAGCCGAGTTCAAATTAAAATGCAGCCTCTGAACTGCCAGGTGTACTACTCAATCAAAAAGGTAATGGAATTTTGCTGACCTGCACAAGACGTGCATGTCAAATGCAGGAAAACAGCACCCATAGACATGAGCCATAAATGAATAATGTACAGTCCATATACCCATCGCATTAAGAACCGCTGTTCCATCAAATGAGAAGTGGGTGTAACGCATGTCGACGGATGTCTACCGCCAAAATATGCAGAAAGAAGAATGGACAAGGCAGATCAAGTACGTCTATTTATTCACGTACATTTTGCATAGTAGAATACACTCAGTGCAACGTTTCAGGGTCTCACAGGATCCCCTTCATCAGGCAAACAAGTGATGACTTGCCTTGGAGTGCCGGTGTCTATTCTTCTATCTAAATTATTAATGGTCACACTGTACATTACAATACTACACCTACAGGGATAATACTAGGGCACTTCCTTGCATCAATAGTCTACAAAGCCAGGATTCATTTACTTTAAGGCACGCAGAACTCAAGACAGCAGTATATGAAGGATTCCCTTTACTTATGGAAAGTTTACCGAGTGATGAAAGGCTACGGTTCAGTAAGGGACAAACCGAAGACAACAGGAAAGATTTTCCATTGAACACTCACACCGACAATGTCAAACATTGTCTGTAACAGACAACACAATTCACCAGAAAAGAAACACACACACGTGCTCGAAACGGGCAAACAAACATTACCTGTGTACCTACGAAAAATTCATAAATTCTACCTGAACATTAAGGTGGCATTTCCCAACGATCATATTGTCCTTATTAATCACTCCGCAACCTTTGCTGTGAAATGAAAATTACTTACAGAAAATGAAGCCCCGACGGGCCGGCGCAGCCACTTAGGAGGTTTCTTTAAAGGAAACACAGTACTCTGCTGAGTGGTCTGTTGAGGGAGCTGCAGAGGAGGAAGAGGCTGTCCAGTGCCAAACGGATCCATGTTTCCAAAAGATGAAGAAAGCTGCATGGTATAAAAAAAAAAACCACACAAAACATTAGTCACTCATGTACTTATTTCTTTAAAATGTGTATTTTACAATTATCAATGATGTACAAGACATACAGTATGTCAGTAAAGCACACCCACTACAATGCAGTTTTATATTACATTATATCATTTTTATATAAACGTTTTAGTAAATTCCAATGATAGGCTGAAAGTAGAAAATGACCGATTTACCTTATCCGCCTGCTTCTGACTTAGATTGTCATTGCCTCCACCCATAATGGAGTATATACCAATACGACCATCAAAAGAAGCAGCAGAGAGCACAGCTGGGTTACGGGGACACCACTGGATATCAAAACACCACTGAGTGTTTGTTGGCAGCTCATATAAAATCTGGCACAATGCAAACAAAGAATAATTAATAAACAAAATAATGTATTATTTCTGCATCTTTTCTTTTTCTTTTATTTGTTGCAGCAAATTAGACAAGGTAGCATCTAAGTTGCTGCAAAACAGGCATTTTCCTGCTTTTCATTTTTTTAACCATATGGCTTGATGTTTCTTTTTTAAAAGATTTTTTTCTCTTTTTGTCATCAACTTAAAGCATCAGTTCACATGTGACCCAGGTGGAGAACGCCACTATATTTTAAAAATAATAACAAAGTTTAGTGTATCTACAAAGACGCCAAAACATCACCATGTGCATACAGTACACAAAAATGACTCAATGGTGTGAAATTAGGTACAGAAGAAACCAACAATAAGACTAAAGATTCCAGTTTTAGCCATATCAAGTTTTAATCCCACATCACCAGCAGCAGATATTTCCAAATATGCCTAGCTGACAGAATGGGAAGATCACTATTGTCGGTCCCCTGACAAATCAGTTCTAGAGGTGTCTGGCAGTGGATGCTCCGTGTCAATGTTGATACGACACCTGACAAAGAGACAACCTATTAGGGCTGCAACAACTAATTGACATAATCGATTATAATCGATTTTGAAAATAATCGTTAGCTGCAGCTCTACAACCTATAATAACTATGAATGTTCGATTATAGTGCAACCCCTTCCTCTCTCATTCTGAAGGCTAATGTGCAAGAGGGTACAAGGACTAATTGACGACTGAGGTACTATTTACAAATTAATAAACAAATACTTGGATCAATAGGGGTCATTAATGTCTGCCTACACTTACAATTTAAGGTTAAAGTGATAGTTATCCATCAACTGTTTTTTTCACAATTCACTTTAAAAGAACTCACCTCTCCAGTGTTAGGATTTGAGCAAAGTATTTTTGAATCCTTTCCGCTGCTCAGCAAGAGTTCTGGGTCTGCCATACTCCAAGCAATTGCCAAAATACCCCTGAAATAACAAAGCATACCATTAGAAAATATTTTTTTCCGCATGGCACAAAAATCAACAATATTAGCACTTGTGGACAAACTGGTCATCAAGTCACACAGCAATATCTGGTAATGACTTAACAACACAACAGGCAGACACTTGCTAATGTATATAACAAAAATAACACACACAAACAATACACGTAAGAATATAGTAGTACTCAAACCTTGTATGATTTTCCATCACCCTAAAAGGAGAAGAAGCAAATCTGAGATCCCACATTTGAATGACAGGTAGCCGGTCGTCCTCCGATGATAAAATCATTTGGGTAGCAACATCAGGGTGCCATGCCATACCAGAACAATGCATCTGATCATCCAGAAGAGTAAAATATAAAAGTAAGAAAATGTCAAAATGATAAAAGGCTCTAGGGAATGCAAATTATGTGTGTAGATGTCAACTATACCCTGTTGCTGTGGTCGCTGACTTTCAAGATCGGTTCATTTTTCCGGAGATCCCAAACAGTGGCCCGACCACTGGGGCTTGTAGAAGCTAGAATATGCTGGACTTGTCTGTTCCAGGAGATACAACTTATGTCTTCTAAAGGCTACAATAAATTAAATCAAGATTTAAATTCAAGGTAGTTGCACAAAACTTGCTTTCATATGTAATGCACACTTCCGAAGATGAATGTCCTCAGAGCAATGCAGTAGATGTCCTCCAACAAGGTTTACACAGGTGCTAGTGTTAAAGACATGTTTTTAAATACCTAAATAAATATTTAAAGAACTAGGGGGCAAAATACAAAATTTTATATATCATATAGGTTAATAGCAATATTAACACTGTCCAGTCTGTTTGTCCATATTGTTGGAAATAAAACAGCATATTACTGATATTCTGATATGGGCGGATTGTATTATTATTATTATACAGGATTTATATAGCGCCAATAGTTTGCACAGCGCTTTACAATATAAGGATTGTATTACTGGTGTTTAGAGATGCAGTATTGTCTTTTGGGTAATAGATGGCGCTGTAGTGCAAGTCTGGTCTATGCTGGAGTTCTATATGCATGCTTTTGTATATGGTATATATTTTTCCTGTTTGATGCTGTATTCCTGTATACATACATGTAATGTCCTGCTAAGCAAGTAAAACTTAATTCAGCATTCCTCAAGATCTCAGTGCTTCATCTAAACACATAAGCGACACATATGGCCCTTTAATGTTAAAAAATACCTGGTGATCCTGGCAACAGAACAGATACATGTTCTTTAAAATGGTAACAAAGATCTCCCTGTGCTATGAAAAGCATTGCAGCCCTGAGCAACTGTACCTGCTAGGGCCACAGTGGGATGTGAGAATGCATGCAGTGGGTGTGCCTTAACACAGTGTTACCAATACTGCCCATCCTCCAGGCAGTCCATCAGTAACTGGCCATGCCAAGCTCTACCCACTGAATTTGTGATCGACTTCAAGTTAGTGTGGACCTCCCCAGTGCTCAAGGCAGATGTTACTTCTGCAGGAGCTTGCTTGTCCCATGTAATGCAATCTGTGATGGGACACAACCACCTTTCCCTCTAACATCTGGCAGCAAGGGGGTAAAAGCAGGATTTTTAGCCCCCTATGACCAAATAATTGCTTATAGTAATCTTTGGTAAACACTGTGAATTCAATTGGCAGATGATCGTATGCAAAAGAGAGAAAAACATTTTAGCCTTTTGGAGGCACTTTATAAACCGAAAAGGAAAGAAGTCAGACAGCTTTGTTTACCTGACTTTTAGCTCCTGGCGTCATAGGAACAGCAAAGTTATTCAAATCCCAAATGTAGATTTCAGACTCATTGGCACCGGATGCTACAAGGTTTGTCTATAGGGGAAAAAAAATGCAACATAGGTTTGTTTTTAATCTAAATGCTATTAACAGTTTAAACTAAGGTTCTGTGTAATTTTCTCTTCATTGAAACAGATGTGGTACTCTTACCGCCCGTCAGATCCTTAATGATCTCATCCAAGGTAGCCCCGAATAGACGCTCCCCCGTGAAGGGGAGCTCCGTCAGAGCCTTCTTGGAAGCCGTCTGCAGGTGGCGATATTACCCTACAGTACATGATCTCCGATCTGTTCCCTGTGTCCTTCAATGAACGGGAGAGAAATAAGCAAACACTCTACCCCCCTGCCATTATAAAATGCAGCGGAAAGCATTACTGAAGATCTAACCTGAAACGGGTTTACATCCAAAGCTCTGACCGGTCCCGTATGTTTATCTTGCTGTGCAATCACCACATCATTATCACCAGCCATAATTTGAGCTGGGTCGTAAAGAATTACATTTCCATTTTCTCCTCCAGCGATAATAATTCCTGAAATACTGCAATCTGATTTCACGCTCTGCGGTCCCCATATTAGCTTATGATACCTGAAAGCATAGAAAAATAAAGTTGTAAAAATGTCATGACTAAATCAAGGGCACCAAATGGCAAGAGGCACTGAAATCAAAACATATCTAGGAGGTATAAAAACAATAATCCATAATTAAGATTAAAGTCCAACTCCTGTCCCCAATCTCTGCACCCGACATCCCCCCCCCAAATGCGGTGATGTAAGAATGCCATTCTGTGCAGCAGTACTCTCTCTGCTCAGGCCAACATCATGATGTTGATGTAACGACACCCAGTGGGACTCACCGGAAGAGGGTGAATGAAGTTGGGTGTTACCTAACCAAGAACAGGACTGGTGCTGGAGGAGCAGCTCTGGAGCATGAAGGGCGAGTACTACTTTAAGTTTTTGTATGCACCGGTTTACTGAAAAAGTACAAATATTAGACTTTAACAATAACCTAAACATATATTTTTATATTAAGCAGAAAATTGGGCAAAAAATGTCTTTGGTAGCACTGTACAATCTTTTTCTTCCAAGGCCATTGAGTCACACAGAAAAGTATACATTCTTAGATTTGCGAGTTCTTCCCCAAGGTAATCATACCTTTGCCGCCTGTAGTGGCATCTCGGCTAACACTGGAGCATCCACATTGAGAATTAGTTCACTTCTAGGTGGCACATGCCCAAAGGAAAAAGCTCTGGCCGTCTCAGGTGGAGTCCAAAGCCATTCAGGGCATTCCCAGCCCACATAGATGAAGTCCTCAACAGCATGTATAGCACACATACATACAGGGTGATAGAGCCATAGAGCTGGAGAAAATGCTCATCTCTTAAGACACCAGTAAGAACTTAAAAAACGGAGGCATGACAGTAAAAGGAAGGGTTATATGGTGAATGGCTTTCTTTTTCCGGCTTTCCAGTGTCCAGACCACCAGTAAAGCAGCATATAACCCAATGGCAGCATATAACCCAATGTCTAAGAATTACTAAATGCTTGTGTCCCTCGGTGGGCAATAAAGAAAATGCAGTTTTAGTCTCTTTAATGTGTAATATATTTACACCCCAAATAAGTAAAAGTTTTTACAAGTATGTCAGCACCATAAAGTCAAAAAGAGGGAAATTTTAGATTTTGAGATATTAGGCATTTTCCAGTACAATAGTTGTAAAACACTGTCTGACCTGGGAAGATGTTAATGTACAGAAGGATTATTGCAATGAGCCTAAAGTGTATGTAAATCCTAACAATGAACTTCTCTTTGCTGCGTTTTGGTTTGTTAAACATACCACCAAAAACAATTTTGTTAGATCGGTTTGTAAAGTTGAAAAAATATCTGTTGGTTTTTCTCAGCTCTCATCTTGAACTACAAAACATTTCCCCCTATGTTGTGGAGATAAGGAGAGGAATACTGTAGTTTAGCAAAAGACAACTAGGCAGGCCTGACACCATTTTTTGCAATTACAGTTCACAAAAGGCACTATACTGTCAGCCCAGAACAGATTTTTGGAAGATCAACAGATATTTTTCTGTAATTACATCTTTAAAGGCATAAAACATGGGGAAATTTGCATGCATCGATGTACTGCATATATGTTTTTTCCGAAAAAGAAAAAAAAAGTGTTGACTTAATAAATAAATAAATCTAAGCTCTGAGTTGTGTGCGCTTTGCAAAACAGTGTGACGGTTATGCATGAGAAATCGTCACAGGTCATCAATTTAGTGGCTAAGTGATCTTTGTTGCTTTGCCCAGCAAAACATTTCCTCATTTTCAACTTCTCAAGCAAATCTTCTACATTGTAGAAAAAGAAAAAAATGTCACACCTGTGAGAAGATGCAAATGTAGCACATGCTTTCATGTCCAGTGAACGGTCATCCAAATCTAGTTCAAAGATCTCCAAGGAGGCATTTGTGCTGAAAGTGGCATCTAACTGCTGAGCAGAAGTACCTGACAAGATAAATAATGGTGACTGAGCTCACACTGTGAATAAACAAATCTGCTTTCATTAAAATGCATGCATTATTTTTTCAAACTTGAATAAGGTTCAAAGTTGTGGTAATAGAAATAACTTTGGTGCATATTTATCGTTTATAAGTGCATTTGTAGTCCAAAATACCAACACAATAGAAATGATTGGACAAACAAAGCAAATCAGCAACTACTTGTGATTTATTCAACTTTGGTGTTGTAACCAATATATTAAACCCAAGGCCTTTTTTTTTTTTTTAGTTAGGAGGGCAGTAAATTAAATGTTCGATCATAGCGATTATGGCAACAAATAACTATGTATATACTGTACATTTTCTACCTTTACTTCCAACTAATTTCTTTAACTCATGATTCATTTCTTTACCTTTTGTTTCATTTTCCCCTATTTATTATTTTTAATAGCACAACTATATTTGACAGCCGACTATTTAAATACATGGCTGTTTTAGAGCTGACCCAGTCAGTCAGGGCTGGGCAAATCCAAGGAGTTAGGTAGACAATGCACCTGAAAAACGACAACTGGTGCCGAACATCTACAGTAAGGTTTTATGCAGTTGTAGTCAGTGCAGCTGGCTACCAAACAAAATCCTGCTGGCTGCTAAATTGGACAGACTGGCTCCTGAATTCCATTTGTCTACACCTGCAGTAAGCGCAAGATTAGGAACCCATTTAATTGGTTACCGATCGTTAGTGGGGACCCCAGCTTTCAATAGAGAGCAAGCAGACCAGCAAGGTGTCAGCTGATGGCTCTCATAAGGGAGGACATTGTTACAGATTGCAAACAAGAAGGTGTTTGTTTATACTTAATGCATTAAAATTACATACTGTGGTTCTGATTTGTGTATCACCACCATATACCTTCCCTGTTGCTGGAAAATGTTTAGCAAGTCATTATTACTGACACCACAAGACACCAAACTATGAGGATCAGAAAAAAACAACAACCCACACACCTTTGTTTACGTAGAATGTCTTTCAGAAATAAACTTTCAACTCAATGAAAAAAACATTTTCCTGTGACAAGGAAGGTGTGCTGGTACTAAATGTTACGTATTACAAATATTTACAATTTTAAATGCATTATAAAATATTTATAAGGGACAGTTTAGCTGAGAGGCCTGAGTCATTCTGGACAGAAACTCCATAGCAACACAACAGGGTGGGATAGTAGGCTCTTTATGTCTACTTGCAGCTATCGTGACTCATCTTTTCCTAATTATGTTTGCAGTAGAAGAGCATAGATGTAACTAAAGAGGGACTCCGGACTAAACACTTTATATAGATACATACATGTAAACTGTTTATCCGATAAAATATTTGTTCTTTGGTTTAGCCACGTTTTTTGATTCAAACAACTCTAAAACACAGCAGAGTCAGGTGGGTGACAGTACTTTCTCTGTTATAGTTAAGGAACACAAAATTGTCACCTTCCCGCCCCAGCATCCTGATCAGGCAATGAAGTAACAGCAGCAAACTTGTGAGGTCATCGTTGAGTTTCCCTACTGTAAGCATGTTTCTAGTGGCTGTCAATCTTGGTCCTGCCAAAGGCTTAATTCAAACCTAGGCAACAGCGTTTTCGCATGTGGAAAAACGCGTGATTTAATAGGTGCATTCAGTTGCATGTTTTTGTGAGCAGTGTGATGTAAATGGGCAAATGCGTAAAAAAAACACCCGCAAAAACGCATTGAAATAATTGCATTGCGCGTTTCCTATTGAGTCTATAGGGACAAAATGCTCTGTACTCTGCCAAAAAGAAGCTCATGTACTCTTTTTCCAGCGACAGGCGTTTTGCTTATTGCACTCAAGTGTAAACAGAGGCCCTAGGAGGTGGGGGTTCTTCAGA